ATGTTTTAATCTATCTGTAACCCACGGTCGATTACCAAAAGACTGGAGGAACATCATAGTAAATACCGACTTTAAGACTGATACAAGACACGGACATGAGGACTATCGACTCGTAAGCCTTACCAGTATGGTTGTCAAAATAAAGAAAACACTATTGCGAAGGAGTTATTTGAGTATTTAAACAAAATCCGGATTCTTTCTGAAAGGCATCATGGCTTTTGAATAGATTATTAATGTCTCACTAACATATTAGTAGCCCGTGAAAAATGCTGAGCTCTTACAGATCAAAAGTTACCCATAGACGTAGCCTAGATTGACTTCAGTACGGCTTTCGATAAAGTTCTTCACAAACGATTTTTATCTCAGTTATGTAATATTGTGAATAAAGGCAATTAGATAATGTGGATAAAGACTTCCTAGTTGGGCGTGAGCAAACGGTTCGGGTGGACTCGAAGTTGTATGGCTAGGAAACTGTGGTTAGGAGAATCCCTCAAGGTATAGTTTTGGGCTCATGCGACAGTGGTATTACCTTCGCTTGTATCTACTTTAACTGATATATTTCTGCAATAAAGTCCTCTGTGTTGTACAGTCTTCAATGCGTCTATAGTATCTTGATACGTCAATAGGGTAATCCACGTAAGGTGCTGACCGCGAGGTGTGACTTCGACGTTAGCTGGTTCGTCACACCAGTCCCGCCTAACTCGAGTAGGCCTACAATCATTCGACATAGATCATCTATGTTGGTGATCTACATTATGCCTACATACAAAGGAGTTTTAAATGAGTTAAGCAAGAGTTATGTCTCTCTAGAGTTAAGAATCCTTTTTTAATACCAAGACATAGATAAAAAAACAAGCAATAATGCGTCATGGATATTTAAGGCTTGAAAAACTTATTTCCATAACACATATATAATCGAATCTCAAAAACTTTGTCAAACCAGAAGTCAGAAACGTAAGAGATTAAAGATATATTTGTGAGATGTTCGGTATGTTAAGGAGTGTATGGTCCAATTTGACCAGTTGTTGAGAAGGATGAGTTGCATGGCATGACCTAAGGCGATCTGGTTCGAGTGAGTGATTTGGCATAATCAGTATGTTTAGTAAGACTGACGAGGTCAGTATCGAATACATTGGGAAGATTCATTTACCGTATTCCGAGTTTCACAACACACTTAGACGTGACACTGAAGATGCCACAGGTATTCGGATTTTGACAACGCTTTAACCAGTAACATCAAATATGAAGCGTACTCACCTAGTGAAATCAAATGACAGAAGCGAGGAGGTTCGAAGATATATTTGATAGACTATCAATGTATCGAGGATCGTCTGATCTAATCTAGCTAGCGATTGCAGGGGTTGTTGAGCACGGCGTTCTCACTCGTGATCTGGTGTGGATGCATGACCGAGCGCCTTCAGCTAGGTGAGTCCATTAAAACCAATGTGGTCAGCATCCAATGTCGAAAACTTACAGAGTTATTTATTTTGGGGATTTATTTACCGCTACAGCACTTTGTTAATCGAAGGATACCAACCCAATGAAATCAGAGGTCAGAAATGAAAGAAATGGAAGATATGTTCGGGAATCTATTGATACATCGAGAAGCGTTTAGTCTAAGCTGGCTAGCAGGAATGCGCGGGGTAGCTACTCAGTCTTCAGTCTTCAGTCTTCAGTAATAAGGATAGGAGGTCTGTCGACCTATATTAATCCTTGCAGTTTGTAATACTGTGGAGGTCCAATCTCGTTTTGAATATATTAACAGACGGTGCTGATATTACGTGTTCCGGTAGAGAATTCCAGTAATTCACTACTCGGTGCGAGAAGCGGAACTCCAGACGTAAACGGTTTGATCTCGGTTTTTGAACTTTCTTCGAATGTCCTCTCAAATGATCGGTTCTAGACGGAAGCAAAAGATAAGACATGTTAATACCAAGGTCATCGTTCAGTATACGATAAGCAAATATTAGATCACCCCGTACTCTACGGTAAGATAACGGAAATAAGTTAAGGTGTCTCAGTCTGTCTTCATAAGATAGGCCAGCTAGACCTTGTACCATCTTAGCAGCTCGTCGTTGGACTCTTTCTAGCATATCTGCTTCATATTTGAAACAAGGACTCGCTGCTTGAATACCGTATTCTAAATGTGGTCGCACATAAATCGGGTATAGTAATCCAAACATTTCATCATCTAAATACTGAAAAGACCTACGAATTGACCATAATACCCTATAGCATTTTGCAGCAGCAGCCTTACAGTGACTAGTCGTTTTGAGATCATTGCTTAATATAACTCCTAAGTCTTTATAGTTTCTTCCTTTGGGTAGCACGAATCCACGTAGTGTATAGTCATACGATTCATCAGAGTTATTTAACTGCATCACTACACTCTTATTAGGATTTACTTCTAGTGACCACCTGTCTAACCATGTCACCAATGAGCTAAGATCGTCCTGTAATACTATTCTATCCGACATACTATGTATGGGTCTCCAAATCTTTATGTCATCAGCGAAGAGTAGAACGGATGATTTTGCTACCGTTGGCAATTCATTTACATAGAGTAAAAAGAGAAGAGGACCTAGGATTGTGCCTTGGGGAACCCCACTTTTTACAGGTACCCACGAGGAGAGAGCCCCATTAACCCTTACCCTTTGTCTCCTGTCATGGAGAAAGTTACTTATCCAATCGACGACTGTGTTATGGATTCCAAAACGTTTCAGTTTGAATTTAAGACCAGAGTGTGAAACCTTATCAAAGGCTTTACTTAGATCTATGAAAATTACATCCACAGGAGCATTCCGATCCTTTGCCGCAGCCCACTCTTCTCGTGCAATGAGAAGATTTGTCAAGCAAGATAGGCCTTTCCGAAAACCATGTTGTGCCCTGGAGAAAAAATTTTGCCCTTCAACATAGTTTATAACAGCTATCCGAATGATTTTCTCCATCAGTTTCACAACTGCACTAGTTAAGCTAACGGTTCTATAGTTACTAACTAAATCCCTACTCCCAGCCTTATACACCGGACTTATTATGGCGTCTTTCCAGTGTCTAGGAAGTCTGGACTGTCTCAGAGACATGTCGAATAGTATCGCTAATGGTTCAGCAATTTCATCTGATATGGCTTTCATAATCCTAGGATGAATATCATCGGGACCACTGGACTTATCAGGTTTGAGATGCTGAAGTAGCCTTAAAACAGTATCTTTCTCAATGACTACAGGATCCATCAGCGAGCCGTCACGGTCACGATGAATCATTGGTCGTTCCTCATTACCGATAGAAAACACTTTACTAAAATATTTCGATAAAGCTTCAGCTTTTTCGACATCATTCTCTGCTAAGATTAACGGATTGTCTCGTATCAAAAGTGATGGAATTCCATCGCTCCTCTTAGTTCGCCTTTTTATATACGAGAATAACCGTTTCGGACTATATCTAGAATCCCTAACCAATTTTTTTTCGTATGAATGTCTGGTCTTGCTTATTAACGCTTTACAGGCATTCCTAATCTTACAATAACTGGATCTGTATTGTTCTAAGCCAGTAGAGATGAACATATTCCAGTGATTCTTCCTTTTTCTAAGGAGTTTCCTGACCGTTTTAGTTATCCATGGTGGACTATTATTCGGTCTTCGCGGTACCAGGTATGGTATGAACGGGGACGTAACTAGTCTAAATTTACCTTTAAATGCAGACCATGCTTCTTCAACTGATATGCTAGTATCTACTAACCAATCTGTCTTAGCAGCGCATTCCTGAATGGCTGATATGTTAGCTTTCCATACATTTGGGCGAGGTGTAACCTGATCGTATACCATGTCCCTAGTTCTAAACGCGAATGACAAAACAGCGTGATCGCTGTTTACTAACGGTGGAAGAATATTTAAGTCGACAATATCCTCAGTCTCATGAGTGATTACCAAATCCAGCAGAGAAGAACCCTGGTCAACACCAAAACGTGTGGGTTGGGATACATGCTGCACTAGTGCATGCTCCATTATTGTTATCAGTAACCTACTATCAAAGGAGTTTATAGATCCTTCTGTGGTCATATCAGTCCAACTAATATCAGGTGCGTTAAAGTCTCCTATTATCAAGCACCTGGTATTATCACTCCAAAGATGAATGTGCTCTAAAACAAAGTCATCAGCTAAGCAGATTGGGCTCCGATAGATGACACCTAGCATAAATGTACTACATCCTATTGCCAACTTACAGCTAATGACTTCACAAGTGCCGCCATCATGGGATTCGCTTGTAGAGGAGCGGATATTTATGCCATTGGCTATATATAACAGGACGCCGCCTCCTTTTCTACATCTATGTCTATCACTCCTGATGCAATGGTATCCGGATAATTCTGGAGTAATGTCTAAGTCATGGACTAACCAAGTTTCTGTCACTGCTAATATGAGTGGCTTTAACCTGTCTACTAGTGCTTCTAGTTCATAGAACTTATTTCGTAAACTACGAGCGTTGGCATATAAAACTCCTAAGTAGAACAGCCTATCCACACAGGCCTTGGTAGCATTCGCTTCCAAGACCTGACTATCCGAAAACCCACTAGTCGGAGATTTTCCTCGCCGTTTTGCCGACGGGTTTCAAGTTCAGCTAGTGCTTTCTTCCCTTTTATTCTATCTTCGAGAGACATGTCAGGTTTAACTCGGATGTCAGAATTGTCGTGACAACGAGCGCTACTTAACAAGAGATCCCGTTGCTTCTCCGATCCTAGGATTACCTTAAGGAGTCTGCATGGACGGGGTTCAACATTGTCCTCAGTCCTCTTGCCTATTCTCGTGAACTGGTGCGGATGGGTGGCCGAGCGCATTCATCTAGGGTGTATCTAATAGATAAAATATTCATCAGTGATGAAGACATATAGAACTATTCATTTTGGTGGGTCTATTTTACTTTGCAACAACTACAAGAAGTTTTTCCATAAAAGTGAACATTGAGTACTTTTGAAGCCAATGTTTCTGAGTCTTTACACATAATAAGGTATAACAAGGCACAGTAAATTCGTCGTTTCTATCCGACCAAGGTCGAAGTTGGAGGAAAAACAAACGGAATTGATTTGTGACTTCAAGGACGCTACGGGTATGCTTATTCAAGTTTTAACTTAACACTTGTTAACTGTTAAGTGCTACCATATTTAGGAGTAAGTGAGTATTTGTTGTATGCTTGGGCCTGATTAACTGTTTTTCATCTCTTTTCTAGGTAATAGGTTAAGGGAACTACCATCACCAAGTCTAATTTCACTGTCCATCGATTACTAACAACAATATACCTGAAGACTGAGCACAAACCTGTTTACGACTGGAAACTTCCCAACCTGTTCGGAAATCCTATCGCGGCCATGTTCGTAGTTCTCTCGGCGTTAATTGTTGCATGTAATAATTACTTCATAATGCTTTGAGATCATAGGTTTGGATCAGATCGTATGCTTTGGCGTGGGTCCTGTCACATCACCTGCTACTTTTCGAATTGGCTCAAATGATTCAAACATACTATTGCAAGGCTATATAAATATAACTTTGGCTTACACAAAGGTTAGGATCCAATTTCACTTTCATACATTTGATTTGCAAAACTGGACGAACCGTAATTTATGGTCAACCCTAAGGTCGTTAGTGACCTCAAGATAATTCACTTACCATGGTCAAAGGAGTGTTATAAGTTAATTAGTAGAATTATAATTAGGATATATGGTTAGAACTTAAGGTTTGGAATTCAAGTAAGGGTTTTCATCGCGAACTGACATTAGCTATTATGGCAAAATATTATTCAAGTACATGACTGAGACCTGTTATCCTAAATTTCGTTCGTTTGTCCATAAGTTTTAGTCTTGTGGAAAAAGTTGGGAGACATACATCAGACCTAATGACAAGGTAGAAGTATTCACAGTATCACAGCAGTGTTCTAAGCTTTTCTGACTAACGAAACAAACGGTGTTATTCCCCAAACTAGACCACTTGTATGTTCTTTGCATAATCGTTATATATAGTGCGGATACTGTTCAGTAATGTTTTGTATGTGTGGATGTACGAAGACTACGAGCAAAATATATTTTGATCTTATTCGTGGAATATCAGTCTTTATCTGAGACCACTTAAGGCATAACCATAGGAAAATTAATGCAGTTCAGTGATCCTTTACAAATTTATATTCAAGAGTGGGAAACACTCACATAACAAGGATACTTAATATATTGCTTGTCTGTCCAGTCATTTTATGAAGTTCCTTTAGTTTCCACCACAAATAACAAACGACCGGCTACTTAGACCATTATACTATGCCTCTGTTTAATATCAAAACGTTGGTAGTCACCTTAATACTTCATCACAAAATGGAAGTTTTTGTGTGCAACCACTCCTCTACTTCTTAAATTTGCTTAAAAAACTATAAAACATTCCGGTTAACTTCATTTTTTTCTTCACTTCCTTACTGCATTACCTACATCTGACTTCGATGCATGTAGGTTCAAAAACCACCTGTTGTAGTTTCAATTGATTCGGCAACTCAGGGAGGATTTCAAGTTTCGGGTTATTTCGAAAAGGAGATAGAAAGTTTGGACTTATCTTGGAAAACAGATTGGTCAAACAGTACTTGGAACCTAACATTTCAATTCGCCAAGTCTGAAAATAGTTACAACCTCAGTGAAATTAGCTTACTTTATGAACTGGATGATTTGCCGGGTTGGTAATTCATATTTCTTATTTTTTATTCTTAGAGTTACTTATTTTAATTGCTGTAAATAATTCGTTGTATGAGTTAGTGTCACTTGCCTATTATGTATCAGCCCTAAAGACCCAATATTTGACATGAATTTGTTGATCGATGTTTCTGTCATTAGTTTTTAAAAGAGGTTTCCAGCAATATTTTTTAGACCTGTTGCTTCTCTTTAAACATTTAACAGTCCAACTTTACAAATTTTGATTCTGTTTTTACATTTAGGTTTAAGATATGCATCAAATAACCGTTCACTATTTTCCGTTACAATCGGTTCATACTATTCTTGTCAAGCTGAACAGAACATAGTTTTAAACCATTCCACACCGAATCCTGTAACTGTTAAACTAACTTTGTCTCAGTTGAGAGTTCAAGCATTCAGACATGGTTTAGAGCCTGAATTTAATGGTATCAGTAAGTTTTCCTTAATACTATATAAGTTTATTATTTATTGATGTAAAGGTTTATTAGCTATGTACCGTTTGTCGTTTACGAATAATGGTCGTTCGGTGGTGATTCGATTCACTATATTTGTTATTTATTATCTTTATTTTCAAGCAAAAAACAGGGGTTGTTTTTGTTGTTAAATAAACTTATGTGCAACACGATTCATAGGGTATATAACCTATCAGTATCTACTTCGGTTATATAGACATGGTAACAATACTGACAGTTCACTATAGTTTATACATCACAATTTCCCTTTTATTTAGGCCTAATGATAGTTTGTTAAAGGCTGATCATGTAGGACTTCTTTTGATTTGTTGAATGTTTTAGATTTTCGTTCATGCTTGGGAAGATTCTATGTTTTTTATTACAGCAAAACCTGAGAGTTATCCAGTATGCTTTTGGATTAATGTTGTCATCAACTATAGCAGTTCTAAACCGTACATTAGTGGAAAATCAATTATATTTCACTTTATGGAAGTTATTGTTTGTGTTTCAGAGTTTTTTCAAAGGAATCTCGACAGTCCTGATAAATAAATAAGCTTTGACCCGACTAATGGGGTTCGAGTGGAAAGCCTTTGGTAGGTTGACCTACTTGGGTGAACATTCAAGGGGCAGACTACCACAAGATCTCCTTGCCAAGCCTGTTGAATGCAGCTGTTTAACAGGCGTCCACCATTGTGTTCGCTGATTTAAAATTTCAAGAGTACCGTTTACATGTCTTTCCTTTGATTTCAAAGTGAAAGGTGGGGATTCCTCTGTTATTTCGTAAAATTTACCGCTAATGAATGACTGATCACCTTTGTCTTTATCCAGTCTGATCGCGACCTCAATCATTATCATCTAAGGAAAGTAATCACTTGACTGGTACAACGTATAATTCAGTTACTGGATTAAGTACAGTTTCAAAACCTGGTCATTTGACCAGGACTTCGGACATTGTCCTTTCTTTACCTCGGGTTGACACATAATTCTCACTTAAACATTCAGGATTCCAAGTTCGCGCTTGCCTTATGATGCAGTTTGATGATCTCCGAAGTGTATGTCCTATCCACTCACAACATCTTTTCCAAGTTTGCTCTTCAACTGGGATCTGGGTTGTTCTCTCTCACAGTAGGCTGTTACTGATGGTATCCGGTCAACAATGGACATTGAGTATCTTGAGTAGACAATTGTCGATAAATGCTTGTACTTTCTTGATGATGGTTGTAGTGGCTTTGCAAGTTTGAGCTCCGTACTGTAGAACTGACTGTTGACGTTCGTATTGAATATTGTGACTTCGATATTGGTAGACAGACTGTTGTTTTGAGTTGCATATGTTCTTCAATTGTAAGAATGCTGTCTTTGGTTTGTCAATCCTTGGCTTCATGTCTGGATGAGATCCTCCTTATTCGTCGATGACGCTGTGTAGGTAGGTACGTGAAAGTTTGCATATGTTCCAGAGCTTCTCCATCAATTGTGACCAGGTTGGTGTTCTCTGCGTTGTATTTGAGGATGTTGCTTTTTCCTTTGTGTATATTGAGACCTACTTCTGGAGAGGCTGCTGCTACACTGTTTGTTTTGACCTGCGTTTGTTGGTGTATGTGTGAGAGGGAGAGATAGAAGAACCAGGTCATCTGCAAAGTCCAAATCATCTAGTTGCATCCAACATGTCCACTGTATTCTGTGCTTCCCCTTAGATGTTAAGGTATTCATAATCCAGTCAACCATCAGAAGGAAGGGGGGAGTAGGAGGCCTTGTCTGACTTCAGTCCTCTATTGCAACGCGTCTGTCAGCTGTCTTCCATGCACAACTTCTCACTGTAGTCCGTCGTATGAATTTCGTATGATGTTGACAATTTTCTCAGGCACACCATAGTGTCGAAGAGGTTTCCATGATGTTCTGTCCATATTCCTCATAATCAAGGAAGTTGATGTATAGTGACGAGTTGCATTCAGTAGATTGTCCAACGATGATTGGTAGTGTCGTTATTTGGTTTGTGGATGACGAATTCTGACGGAATCCGTTCTGTTGATTTCGAAGCTGGACGTCTACTGAATGTTTCATCCAGTTCAGCAACACTGTTGCAAACTTTTCCTGGTGCAATGCCTCTGTAGTTCTCACATTTGTTCAGATCTTTGTTTACGTGGGAATATTGTGCCGCCTATAACCATTTTGTTGAGTGCACATAAATGTGCGAATCTGTCGCCTTTCTCGTTCCCTTCTCCCAGTCAGTTCATGTCACCCCATGATATCTTCATATCCGGTGTTGTTCAATCCGACTTTTGAGTTTAGGTCTCCCATCAAGATGGTCAGGCCCTTTCCTAAGCACTTCACTACGGTTGATGGCAGCCTCGTAAATCTTTATCGTCATCTTTTCCATTATTGTTGGGTGTATAACATTGAATAACATTGATTGTGTCTCCTTCCTTTGTTTTGGATGATGCTTTGATGATCCTAGATCCATGAGATTGCCACTAAATAAGTGCATTTTGTGCTTGTTTGAACAAAATCGGAGTAACTCCCTGAGTGTATGGATCATTTTATTCCTCGTGATCGGAGTACAAAAGCATCTCTCCCAAACCTATCCTTTTCTGTCCAAATTTGGTTCAATAGGCTTCATTGATTCCGAGCACTATCAGGTTGTGTCTCTTCATTTCCACATCTATTTAATTGGTCTTCCCAGTGTCCCGGTGTTTAAATGGATATTCAGTCATGTTAATTTTTGTGTCAACCATATTGCTCATTAGTGTTTCATTTTGTCATATAAAATAACTCTGCCGACCATTTGTTTTATCGTTTGATATCTGTTCATTTTTAAACTGGATCAGTTGTTTAGTTTGCGTAAGTAATCCTCAGTTAGCCACCATTCACATCAATTCAGACAATTGATTCCACAATAAAAAAATCCCATAATTCTCCTCCATTATAACAAATTTAATAACCATTTCTGTACATCATACTATCCTTGTATCTCATAGTACGGTACATGGTTCTTCATCTGGGTTCATTATTTTAACCTATTTGATTTTTAAGTAGCGGATAATTTGTGCTTTGATTTTCGTTTTTGTTTCTTTCAACTAACCATTGAATGTTTTTGTTTTCGAAAATTTTCTTCCAATTAGTGGTTCAGTGCTTACTCGACTATCATTTAGATAGAGTTGTTCCAATTGTCATTGGTATATCGTTAGCGGTAATGATTATCGTTGCGCTGATCGCATTCATTATCACAAGTCGACGTAATTGGAATATCAGTGGAAGCAGTGGCAGTGGTGGCTACCAACAAATCTGAGTGTATGAAGAGACCTGACTATATATATATGACTATTAATAACAATGGTTTATGATCCAACTTGGCCTATGATTTGCTATTTGTATGCCATGTGGAAACAATTTGTTCATAATTACTACGATAATTATACCTGTAATTTTTTTCCGGTTCTTAAAAAATTGATTACTGAAATTTCTTGACTACTCCTTGGAGCCCGTTTTATTTTGTTTATTTGGATCTATCCGTTTTTTCTAATTGCATACATGCTTTAAATCCCTTATCATCAAACACCAATAAGATATTACGCTGTTCTTCTGTACTGAATCTCATAGATACATAATCGTTATTTATTTTGGTTAATTTACTCAAAATAATCTCTTCAATATATATATATATATATTTAATTTACCTAATTTATTTCAGACAGAAAAGAAAATATTTTTCCAGTTTTCTAGTTTTACTGAGTTTTGCAATTAGCTAAAATCCTGTTGAAATTACTTTCTGTAAAGAATTCTTTCTATGTTGTAATGAATTTGACAGAACTAACAACAATAGTCCAACCTTTCTTTCTCTTCTAGTTTCATTACATTCTATAAGAGAAGACAAGTAATTTTAGGGGAAAAAATTCTTCAGTCTATGAATCTGAAGTTATGATTATCATATTTAGTGTTAGGTTTTAACTCTGAGTGTGTCTGTATGGTCTTTCCCCGAATGTCCTGCTATGGCCGAGGGTGGGGAGAGTCCGTCTTCCTCATCAAAATGTTCTCACATGGCCACGCGTATGCAACAACTGTCAGGAAAGTCCTGCTCACCGCCTTCTCGCGGCATTACTATGGCTTACAAAATTGAGAGGATGAAAAGTGAATATCCGGCATTTTAACCGGGTTGGTGGATATGGAGGATCCACCTAGGGGAGTTGTAAAACCCTGATTCCAAACTACTGGTGTTCTCTGAGCTCAGAGAACAAAACTTCATCAAAATCATCCACCTGAGCTACAAGTCTTCTCCACCATCTCATATTCTACTGTAATTCAACAATTGAACAATACATATAATTATCTGAAGTCATAGTTAATTGTAATAATTTAAAATACTGAAATAAGCATTGAATAGATGTAGAAAGTGTTGTGCAAAAATGAAAGGTTTCTTATTTGCTAAGAGCGTTGATCGATCAGTTAGGTGTCAGAGATCGTCTGTATAGCAGTATTCATACATAGACATTTAGATTATATAAATTTTGCACACTATCATTGAATGGATTCTTAAGGATTATAACTGCATATTACACTGCAGTCTTAAGTAATAGGCTGATAGAAGTAATGATTAAACAAAGAAAGTGAAATCTGGTTTAAGTCAATTAATCCCTTTGATAAATTTGGTTTGCAGAAGCATTTGAACTGAAATAATTAAACTATCAGTTAAGTATTTTATAAACGTGGTTTAAAAGCTTTACCATCACCTCAAAGACTGGAGGTCTTGAGTTCGATCGCTGGTAGAGCAATGGGAGTCCAATACTGAGAAGTCACAGACTAGGAAAAACACCTATCCAGTTATACTGTATTTTTAATGATATGCTAATTGGTATACCGAAGAGATAAGCAAGATACTAAAATACAACATAGAAAACATCAATCCATTCATACTTGATAGACGAGCTCTGCAAGAGGTGGAAACATTTACCTACCTGCACAGCATTATCGATAAACAAGGAGGATCTGATGCAGATATGGATGAACAGATTAGCAAAGTAAGGGTGGTATTCCTACATTTGAAGAATATATCTGGGACTCAAAACAACTGTCAAGACAGTTCTGCTATACGGAGCTGATACTTCGAAAGCTATTACAACCATCATCGGAGAGGTGCAGTTATCTATAAACAGCTTTCTAGACAATATTCTCCAGATCTATTGACCAGAGACCATCATCGATAATCGACTGTGGTAAAGAACAGATCAGGTGTCATTTGAGTAGTAAATTAGAAAAAGACGTTGGAGGTGGATAGGACACACATTTCAGAACTTATCGAACCACTTCGCAAAGGAAGTCTTAACATGTAGTTCTGATGTAAGAAAGTGAGAAGGTTGACTAAAGAATAGATGACATGAAGAGTGGGAGGGATATATCAAAGGCATGAATAACACTGGTGGTGAAACTGTGAAAGCGGGAGTAGGATATTGTTGTTTGTAGATTCTTCGTTGGACGCCTATGTCCTGCGTTTGTAAGTAAGTAAATAACTGCTATCGATTCATTACAATATGATTTTTCTGTTCTAATTCATCATAGTTTCTCTCATTTTGTTATTTGTTGTGTAGTTTTTGACCCATTATTATGATAAGATTTTTTTATGTGTAGTAACTGAAAATAAATTAGGACAACGCGAGTTGTTTTGATTTGATTTTTCGAACCATAATTCAATAACTTTTTTGTGTGTCATCCAGTGTTAGGGAATGAGTATTAGATACTAAGTGGTCAATCAATCAATGATTGACCTCGATTGTAATTTCATTAGTTTATAATACATTTATTAAATCATTAAATAATAATTATATATTTAGCTGAAGGAATGTTGTGTTGATTAGTTTAATTTGTAGGCTGTTTTCTACACAAATTAGTCTAAGTTGTGATACTAATAAAAAACCGAGGAGCACTGAACAACTATCTTGTCACAATATACAACTTGTAAGCAGTGTAGACCTACTAACCCTGTGAGGATCGAGCCCGAAACCTTCAGGTCTCTTAGCGAACTCCTAAACATTGATTTCTATTGATACGATTCCAACTTCAGTGAATTGGTAATATATGTATATATTTCGAATGGTATTGTGATCGAGATGCAATGAATCCTCCTCTTATCAATAATAATCGTACTATTTGTCTTATCCCTAAGGGTATTTCTACCAAGTGAATAATTCGAATAACCAGAATATTAAACTCAATTTTGACAAAAAGAATTTCTGAAAGTTTGTTAATTTCATGCTAAAACTTTATATATAAAGTTAGTTTGTATAATTTTAAATTATTACAACAAATATTGAATGATTTTTCCGATGATTAGGTTCTGTGAAGATTTAATTGATCTGTTTGCATTGAACAGTGATATCATGTGGTGAATTAGGAAAAGAATAACAAATCAGAAAAAAAAAGGCATATAAGTGAATAATATTGTTTTCAATTAAATCGACAATACTGTTTGCTTATGTGTGTTGTTCTAATTTTCAAAATGAAAATCTTTCATATTTTAAGATAAATAATTGTTCTTTACTGAAATAGTTGAAAAATAATTAACCTCAACTTCATCCATGATCGAATTTATGACATAAAGAGAAGTTATGAAGTTGTTCAATTTTCTAAGTGTTTACTTTTGTTTTTCATAACATTAATAACATTCAAAGGCTATTTTCACTATTCATACAATCTTAAAAAGTATTAAAAGTCAGAAAGGATAAATATTTTATTGAAATTTTGGATCAATTAGCAATGCAATTCACAGCTTCAAATTCGAATGAACTCAGGATTTTTAGTAATATCAAGGACTTTGGTACTAGTCAGTCATTGAATGGATGTACTGTGATCAATAATTTAAACTGATTCAACTTAAAATATAATGCGGTCTTCATCCAACGTTACTTGTGAATCCCTGTTATAATCCATAGAATGATTGAATTAAGAGCTCACTGCTTCCTGGTTAGCGTTTTATAGCAGGATTGTTCTCTACGGATGATGTTGATGACCCCATCCTCGGACCTCCTAATTTACCTAGTTGTGGGACCGGCAGTAACTCTAGAAGAGCTACATGCTACATGGAAAAAGCGAGATCCTCAAATACAAGCGATAAATTGGAATCCTGAGTGGAGAAGGGGAAAAGAGGAAGGCCAAAGAATACACTGAGCCGAGAATTCGAAGCAGACATGAAAATAATGAATAGCAGCTGAGAACAACTGGGAAGAATTGTCCAGAATCGAGTTTGATGGAGAATGCTGGTGTTCGGCCTATGCTACAACACAAGGATTAACAGGCGTTAGTAAGAAGTAAGTAAGTAACTTCTTCCTACTTGAACGTCAGGTTATTTTTCGTGAGGCTTTAATGTTCTTAGCAAACACAATAGCTTAATGGGTGATACATTCTGTTTGGAAAACATAGGTTGTTATTTCATGTCTCAGTATGAATATCAACACTGTGATGCAGACACATTCAGGTGACGACTCTCAAACACAACAAAATACTCGTCTTGAATTCTACTCCTTGATATAATTCAAATAAAATAAGTTCCAATACATAGGAGAAATATTTTACCAATTGTTAATTATTGAAATACTATGATGATACTTGCTTACATTATCTGGTGAATGACTAAAATTTCGTGAATTAAATCGTGTAATATCAACATTGAAATAATACAAGTTATCATTAGTTGACAACACCATGTTCAAATGGAATGAACTCATATTATTATGTTTAATTAAGTAGAAGTATTTACTTACTTACGCCTGTTACTCCTCGTGGTGGAGCATAGGCCAGCTACCAGCATTCTCCATCGAACTCCAGCAGTAATCAATATCACAACTTGTAAGTAACTATAGCAACTAAAAATGACTTCTACAGTCTATTTACCTGTAGATTTTCTCAGTCTCTATTCATTTCTCTATTGATTAGGTTTATATAACAGGTAAAACATTGCCAAATGTTATGAAATCAGATGAATATACACAGACTGAGATTTATTACAATTCATTGTAAGTGACCTCACCTACATACTTTGTCTAATAATATTTTTGAAGTGATTAAATATATATTTACGTTAACAAAAAAAGAACGGTTCAACTATTGATTAACTCATAGATCGATTGGGTAAAATTACTTTCAGTGCATTATGTTATATATCAATTCTCATTGAAACAAGAAGACCTAGAATAACAAAATGATTGAAACGAGATAACCAGTCCCTCTTTGAGCACAGCTAAGAATACGTTATTTATGAGGTAGCATGTATGTAGTTCAACGAAAAGATCTCTTTTATTTGATAATTTCTTACTCAATAGGTCTTTCTCATTTATTAAAAAAAAAACTAAATTCTTGAGTATTGAGTATCCACAAACTAAGAAAAAAGACAGATAACCTATGCAGCCTAATGGTTCTTCAACTTCTATCAACTCTTGATGAGTTTTAAAAAACAGCTGATTTTTGAATCCATCTTGAATGTGTAATAATGATTAAATGATTAGGAATTTTAACTTAGAAATTAGTTATTATTTAAAACAATTAGTCCCTTTGATAAATTTCGATAATGTAATTAGAAAACGAAGATGGTCGGAACTATGTGATATATTAGCGCAATGCATTTCGAACAATCTGATCACACATATACTTATCAGAAGAGGTTTGTGGAGATTTTAGAAATTGTCACTGGTTGAAATCATGAGTCAGTTGAAGCTAGACCACCATGGATAACCTGGAAGCGGGTTCGTGGATGCGCACTGCTGAGGAGTCCCATTCTAGGACGAAATGGCCCTCCAGTGCTTCCAGGTTTTCCATGGTGGTCTAGCTTCAACTGACTCATACATAT